TTCTCAAGGCCGCGTGATATTGCTCCTGCGACTGAAAGGTGGAGAGCCACGGCTTAGTTAGGGCTCATAGGGTTTAGGGGTTTAGGGGTTCAGAGTTAAGGTTTAGGGTATTATAGGGCTTATAAACCCCATAAACCCTAAACCCTGAACCTTGATAGGGCACCTTGACTTTGGGGGCTCAGCGTCTATCATGCAGGGTGTATGTGCCGTGAGGATCGCGCAAGCTGTGGGTTGGAGAGAGCTTATAAGTGTGCTGGAGGCCTCTCTTTAGGCAATCTTCCCTGACCCCAGGGTCCATGTACCCAAATAGTATATACATTGGCCCCAAAGTACCTATATAGGGACTACATTAAGGCCAAAGTATATACTATTTAGGTACATGGACCCTTAGGGTGAATTCTGAACCCAGATCGCCACCCCAAGCGTGAGCCAGGCTCCAGCCTACTTGGAGGTTCATGGGTTATAAGTGGAGTTATAAGTCTCCTAATATAGGCTATAACTATAGCTACTCTACTTATAACCCTATATACTTATAACTACCCATGAACCTCCAAGTAGACTATGTGCTATACTGAAGCAACGAACAGGCTCGAACTTCGGAGGTTGGATCTGCTGTCGTTACCTGAATCTGCGTTTAGGATGTAGGGCGAGTCTGTGGGAACTGCCATAGGGCGTAACAAGTTTTTGTTATGTTTCATCCTTCAAAACTTATGTATCTAGGCTGGGTTTTGGGACATGGTTTATTTTCCTTATTTGGGTTTATTAAGGGACCCTTTATATGAATATTGTTCAGAGGGTTCAAAGGCCAACCCAGGTATGTAGCCGCAGCCCTTATCTGCGCCATGGAAACCTTACAAAGCCCTACACCCTAAACCCTAAACCCTAAACCCTAAACTAAACTCTGACAGTCGTATAAGCCCCTGACTTCAAAGCCCTCCAGGCCCTATGTCAACCCTCAGCCCTAAACCCTTACAGAAACCTTATAAACCCCAAGCCCTAAACCTTTTTAGAAGCCCTAAACCCTAAGCCTTAAGGCCTAAACCCTTAATAAACCCTAAGCCCTTATAAACCCTAAACCCATATGAACCCTAAACCCTTATAAACCCTAAACCCTTCTAAACCCTAAACCCTTATGAACCCCAAACCCTACCCTAAGGCTCATGGACCCCCACAGTGAAAGCCCAAAGCAGCCCAAACCTTCCCCTAGAAAGCCCATAACAGCAATAAGAGCCTTACGGTACTTGGAGGCTCATGGGTAGTCATCAGTATATGGGGTTATAAGTAGGGCAGCTATAGTTATGTCCTATATTAGGGGACGTATAACTCCACTTATAACTGCCATGAACCTCCAAGTAGGCTTAAGGTGATCCATGAATACTGGCTCACTTTTGGGGTGGCGATCTGGGTTCAGAATTCACCCTGACTTAGATGGGCTGTGGTTTGGCTAAGTAACCCTAAACCCTAAACCCTAAACCCTAAACCCTAAACCCTAAACCCTAAACCGCTAAGTAGTAAGCCCTATAAACTTTCATCCGAGTCCCCGGCCGAGAAAGTCTCAGGTTCCTGCAGACGAAGGACTGTCTGGTGCTTAGTAGGGAATGTGGTTTAGGGTTTAGGGTTAGTGTTTAGGGTTTAGGGTTTAGGGTTTAGGGTTTAGGGTTTAGTTCAGGGCTTGAGGGCTTAGGGTTTAAGGGGTTTTTGGGACTAGTATAAGGGACCTTAAGGGACTATCATAGGGATCCATCCCCCCATCCCCCACCAAGCACCAGACGAAGGAGGGCAGAAACGGCCGAGAGCTCGAGGCCGCGAGCAACTTCCAGGAATCTCTGAGGCGGCTCAGGGTTCAGGGCTTTGGGGTTTATTGTTTAGGGCTTTAGCAATTGGGATTTAGGGTTTAGGGTTTAGCAATTGGGATTTAGGGTTTAGGGTTCAGGGTTTATTGTTTAGGGTTCAGGGTTTAGGGTTTAGCAATTGGGATTTAGGGTTTAGGGTTTAGGGTTTAGGGTTTAGGGCTTGGGGTTCGGGGCTTTGGGGTTTAGGGTTTAGGGCTTGGGGTTCAGGGTTTGGGGTTTAGGGCTTGGCATTTGGGATTTAGGGTGTAGGGTTTGGGGTTTAGGCAGCTTGTCAGGTGTTTCTTCATGTTTGAGGTCATGTTTGCTGTTTGTTAGTTTTACTGCGTCTTGTCATTGCTGTTGTTTACTGCGTGTATGTGTGTGTGTGTGCGCTTCGTGAGTCAGGGATGTGGGGAAGGGTGTAAAGTGTTCAGGGTTTATGGTTTGTTGGGGCGTGTGTGTTTTCTTTCGTAGTTTCCATGAAATTTGTAGATCTATTTGTAAAGCTTCATTGAGCGTTATTTCACTGTTTTTGGTTCTGTTTTTGGGGAGCTTAGGATCTGGGTCTCGGGTTCAGGCTTTAAGGTAAAGGTTGCCTTGTGTGTTCTGTTTGTTCTGTTTGGTTCTAACTGCAGCTGTTTCGCTTTGTCTTTTTGGTGCTCATGCTCATCCCAAACCCAATCTTCCTAAACCCCAAACTCTAAACCGGCGAGGCTCGATCCCAAACGACGGTTTACGTAGTCAGGAAATTCCATTTGGTCTTTTGTGGAGAATTTAGTGTTATCCGGTTAAGCTATCGTCAGAGCCACACAATCCACTTCAAGACTCTATTCACTCTATTATATTTGCTGAGACCACTCACCCTCCAGACTATTCTAGTTACGGAGACCTCATGATGCATCTAGATGTGTACATATATATATATATATATATGTATATACGTTGTGTGTAATACATACATATATATATATATATATATATATATATTATATATATATATACACATATATTATATATTATATATATATATTATATATATATATATATATATATATAGATATTTATGTGTATATATACATATTTATATTTATATTGTGTGTATATATATAGAGAGAGAGAGGTTCTGTGTGTTGGGAGTTCATTCTTATGCACGAGGCAGCTGGACCCTGCCGTTTGCGACGTCACCAGCTGGCTCCTGGGTGCTGTTTAGTGGCGAGTCTAAACTAAACCATAAACCCTTAGACCCCTGGCTCACTGCTTTTGCTTCTTTCCTGAAGTTTCCTAGGCCCGTCCCAGCCCACAACTACTTTTGGTTTGGGAAACAGGGCTTCGAAAACAGATGAATGTGCGATCGGAAGCGTATGCAAAGCGGTTACACCCCTATGCTCACATGATACATTCGGTAGAACAAGTACCCCGCTACTCTGATTAGTTTGATCCCTATAGTTAACAGGAAGGTAGCGCTCTTGCGACGCATTATTGAGACATGTTGAGTTCAATCTGTCCTACACCTCCAAGACTTGACGCACAGAGGCCTGTTCGCGAGCTCCATCTAAAAAAATCATGTCATGCTGTCCCCCCTACACCGTAAACCCGAAACCCTTACCCCCTAAACCCTAAACCCCAAGCCCTCATAGTCAACTGAATGCTAAGCACAAAACGCTCAGGTCCCAGACCTGAGAAGTCCCGAAACCGCAGCCTCCGAGCCCTTCCTGGGCAACACAAAACCCTTAGTTTGTTTGTGGTCATGTAAACATATAAATCTCTCTATATATACATATATATATATATATGTAACATATACACAATATGTTTATATATATATATATAGAGAGAGAGAGAGATAGAGAGCGAGAGAGATACCACCTCCGCAATTAATCTCAATGCGGAGCAACTGAACTCCCTAAGCCCCAAACCCAACTGCAGCCGAGGAGCGATCTGAAACGGATATACACTTGTGCGGAGGAGGACCCCATGGCAGCCGTTTGCGCCACTAAGCCGCCTGTGAGAACTTGGGAGTAAGGTTTGCTTATAGGTACGCACGGAGAAAAATTCTGCACTAAGTACCTGGCGGACATTTTGTGATAGGGATTTAGGGTAGATCTTGCCTTTACGTTCTGCACGGTAGTTTTAGGACGGGAATCGCGGCCAACCGATGGTTCTGTGGCTGCTCTTTCCGTCTTTATCTTTGGTTCCCATTCTTATAACACCCGCCGCGTGCAACCCGAACCCCAACCTCTGAGCCGATAGCCTTGAACCCTCAGCGCGAAGCCCCGACCCAAAGCCATACGTGGGTAGTTCTCTAAATTAGGGTCCCTTTTTAGGCCCCCCAAATCGTATGGCACCCTTATAAAAAGGACCCTAAAAGGGGCCCCAATCTAGAGAATTACCCAAATTGCTTTGTTGTTTCGCTACAAGGATTAGGTGCAGAGGGTGCTGTTGGACTATAAAGCAGTCTGCACATAGTCTAGCAGTAGCTGTTTGGTAACGTAGCATTGTGTCCGCCGTACCACAGTACTTGAGCCCAACACAGCAACCCACATAAGAACTTGTACAGTAACCCTTATAGTAACCCTTGCGATGCCCCATAGTTGCCCTACAGTGGCCCTGGTCACCCTGACCGCAACGCTATCCATAAATCCCCAAACCCCTAAGCCATAAACCCTAGACCATAAACCCCCGAATCCCTAAAGGCTAAGCCCCAAATTTGTCTTGACATACCCTATTCTTCAAAGTACCTTCTAGTTAGGGCCTAGACCCCTTACGGGCCCAAAAATAAGGTCCCTGGAAGCTTAGGTTGGGAACCCTAAAAGGACATAAGCACAAGCATGTTATAGGGATATCCCTACCATATTGGGCTTCATCATAAGGGTGTTTATATGGGATATCCCTATCCCGAGTTTTGCTTCTGTGCTTTCGGGGGGCCCTAATAAGCCTACTTGGAGGTTCATGGGTAGTTATAGGTGGAGTTTTGAGTCCCCCAATATAGGTTATAATTTTACTTACCCTACTTATAACTTATACCCCTACTTATAACTACCCACGAACCTTCAAGTATGATCCCTGATAGACCCCTTATAGGACCCCTTATAGAGCCCTTGTAGA